ATTATAGGCATTATAGTTTATTACTTTATAATTATTCTTTATAATAAATTTTAGAATCTGATGATAATCATATTTAGAAGATTTTAAGGACCACAATCAGTAAAAGTGAATTTAGTTATACTAAAAACCTTAATGGCATCTTCTAAGTATTTTTCATATTTATTTAGCAGCTTTCTGACAAAAATTTGAAGAAAAGTCTTATTTTCAAAGTTATTCTGTTTGTTCTGAGCCCATAATAGAAATGGAAAATCAAACCAATTTGTAGAATTTTCTTTTGTTCTTTTTTCTTTTTTTTTTTTTTGACAGTCTTTCTCTGTCACCTACGCTGGAGTACAACAGCACAATCTCAGCTACAACCACTGCCTCCCGAATTCAAGTGATTCTACTGCCTTAGCCTCCAGAGTAGCTAGGATTACAGGCACACACCACCATGCCTGGCTAATTGATATATTATTAGTAGAGACAGGGTTTCAGCATGTTGATTAGGCTGGTCTGGAACTCCTGACCTTGTGATCCGCTCACCTTGGCCTCCCAAAGTGCTAGATTAGAATATTTTCTAATATTCATGCCAATATAACAGAATTGTGCAATGTTAAAAATGCTACATTATGAAAGAAAAAATACTATGCAAAGTTACAGTACCTAATATGAGTGTGTACACTTTTCAACTGGAACTCCATGTGTGATGTATAAACAGGACTAAAGTTAGAGTTTTTTTGTTTTGTTTTGCATAGACACCAGAGAAAATACATTGAGTTGTATTTGAAAAAATAGGTTAAGTGTGTAAAAACATATTTAATAGCATCCAACTAAGAACTACAAGTCTGGTGCAAAAGTAATTGTGGTTTTCTATAATGCAGAAAAAAATATTTGAATCATGTCTCATTTTTATAGAAAATTTGCTTTTCATTAAATTCTGTTTACAATATATTGAATTACATAATATACTACTTAATAAGTATACTGATATAATTGCAATGAATTTTAAGACCAAATTTAAAAATTATTAGAATATTTTCTCATTACCTATAAAATGTAACTTTAGTAAATTATATGCTTTTAAAACTTTCAAGAACATAAAAAATGCAGTTATTTTTTCTAAAATCTAATGATTCATACTTTTAAGCAGCCTGGTATAGCCAACTAAGAAGTAAGACATCATTAGCTTAGTCCCGACTGTAACTAGATTTCTGCCTTCTGGACATGTAAAGTGTGATGGAAAGTTCATGCTTTTCTCAGAAAAGGTATGTTTTGTACTTTACAGCATCCTCCATCAGGACTTCTTAGTTCCAACTTTGTAGGTAAAACAGGTTATTTTTAAAATTATTTCTCCTTTCTCTCATGTACCTCTTGCACAGGTTCTTACCTACTATTTGGTAATATAATAATAGGCAAAACTTGGTGCTAAAACATAGGCCACATTATAAGGCAATGTACTGGAATTTTAACAAAATATTCTGTGACAGGCCAGCATCTATAAAAGTTATAAATGTTTATATCTTTTAAGCCATCCCACATAATAGGCTTCATGCTTTACTTACATGAGACTCACAATATATTTCCATCAGCTCTTGTAATTGGTTAAATAGAAATAAGAGATACCAGGTATTTCCAAAGAGGTGGAAAGCAGTTTTTACAAAATCTAGAATCTTTAAACGTAGCTCAGGGAAAGGAAGATTTAAGAAAGGAAGCTAGAAGTTGTTCATGGAGGGAAAGAGAATCAGCAAATGGTAAAAGTCACACAGATATTAACCAGAGAGTACTCATTCTTTAAGTCAGGATTGAACCGAGGCTACCATTGTAAAATATCAGAAACCAAAAGACAGTATTGCCACGTGGTTACAAGGTCAAGCTCCCAAGTATGTAAAACAAGATAGAGACTTCATCCAATTTTTTCAAATCTTTAAAATGATCTTTACCATTCCTTTCACTGGTTTGCCCAGGAGAAGAGAGGCCAGAAGTCCTTTACCCTTTTGGAGGCGTCAGTCTTCTGGGTTCCCTTACCCCAGCTCGATTTTAAGCTAAGCAATTTAAGGTTCGGGGAATTAACTTTCTCCAACTTGGAGAATGCATCTGAGGGGAGTATCCTGTGGTACAGGGACACAATTACCCATTGGTGGCAAGAGGACAATGAGGAAAAAGAAAAACAGGCTTTGCTTTGTCTTTTTATCAAAGGAGTCTTAGTGATTCAGGAGGAATTTGAGAGAAGTATAGACTGTGAAGATGATTGATTACCCATCTGGAAAGAAGGAAAAGACACATTCCTCATTTTCTTGGGATAGGAATATCTTTGTTTTTGAGACAGGGTCTGGCTGTGTCAACTAGGCTGGAGTACAGTGGTGCAATCTTGACTCACCACAACCTCCACCTCCTGGGTTCAAGTGATTCTCCTGCCTCAGACTCCCAAGTAGCTAGGATTACTGGCATACACCACCACACCCAGCTTATTTTTGTATTTTTAGTAGAGACAGGATTTTGTCATATTGCCCAGCTGGATCTTGAACTCCCAGCCTCAAATGATCCACCCATCTCAGCCTCCCAAAGTGCTAGAATTACAGCCATGAGCCACCCCACAATACAGAGGAAAGATTTCTTAAGCAAGATATGGAAATCAGTAACCATAAATTTAAAGTTTGCTAGAATGACATGAAAATTAAGAACTGTTCATCAGAAGACTACATAAACAATGGTAAAATGAAGCCCCAAATTGAAATGAGATATTTTCAATGTATTTATCTAATGGAAGACTAGAAATGAGAATATATAAGAAACTTCTACATGTTAAGAAGATAAAAACGCAATATAAAAATGAGTAATAGACATGAAAATTCTATTTCACAGTAAAGGAAGCAGAAGAGATAAAAGCACAAGAATAGCATTAAATCTTATTAAGTATTAAGATTAATAAAATGCCATTTTCCACACATATAACTGGCAATTAAATCTATTAACATGAAGTATTAGCAAGCTTATGAATCAATAAGGAATCTTAAACACTGTTGGCAGGAATGTAAATTGATATAACTACTTTGGAAAACAATTTAGAGGTTTTTTTGTAAATATTTGCAAACTCCATGACTAGCAAAATCCCCTTTCTAAATATCTACCATTAAGAAATTCTTACATATATTCACCAGGAAACATTTAAAGACTATAGATGCATTATTCATAACACAAAAAAAAACCTGCAAAATAATCCAAATATCTCTGAGCAGAAGAATGGGTAAATACAATGTGGTATATTCCTTTTTTTTTTTTCTTTTTTGAGATGGAGCCCTGGCTGGAGTGCAGTGGTGCAATCTCAGCTCACTGCAACCTTTGCCTCCTGGGTTCAAGTGATTCTCCTACTTCAGCCTCCCAAGTAGCTAGGACTACAGGCGTGCACAACCATGCCCAGCTAATTTTTATATTTTTAGTAGAGATGGGGTTTCACGATGTTGTCCAGAAGGGTCTTGATCTCATGACCTCATGATCTGCCCACCTTGGCCTCCCAAATATGGTATATTCCTTACAATGATATTTCAAAGTGCCATTTAAAAAAACGTAAAATACAGTATTTTATATGCAACAACTTGGATACATAGTACCAGAGGGGAAAAATCTGGTCACCAAAGTTTACTTCCACAGTAATGATATCATTTTTTGCTTTTCTAGCCTATGGAGTCAAGAGGAAAAAAAAGTTGCCCCATATATATGGACTAAATCATCACCAGAATTTTTCTGTTTCTTTAAAGCATTTTAGTAAATATCTTAATGTGTACACCCATTAGTAGATTGTCATGTAACAGGCAAAAATAAGAAAAGAATAATGTTTTAGATTCACAAACATCTTAATAACTGTGGTTTGATATAATTGTAATAAATCATATTGATATAGACAAGGGACCATGAACAAAAAATTCCTTTTATTCTTTCTTACCTTAATTTATAGATATATCTTTATTTGTCTTTTTTGTTTGTAATCATACACCCAATTATTTTATTTAATTTTCTAGACAGTTTGATGCCTTAGAGTCAAATAAGACAACTAACGCTGATCATGAGTTCTGATAATTTTTGTACAGTTATTATATATTCCAAATAAAGATTAGATTTACAAATTGACTTTATATGCATGGCTTTTCAACTCCAGAACATTGCTCTGAGAATATATGAACCTATTACCCTTAGTGGCATTGGTCTTTGTTTTTTTGTTGTTGTTGTTTGTAACCATACATTCAATTATTTTAGATAGTTTTCTGAACAATTTTATAGCTGAAGTTTAAATAGGACAGCTAACCTGATCCTGAATTCTGATAACCTTTTCACAGTAATTATGTGTTCCAAAGTAAAGCTTGCAGTTGAAGATTGAATTCATATGCTGAGTTTTCATCTTCAGGAGAACATTCCTCTTGAAATACATGACTCTATTACCCTTAGTGTCATTGGCTTAAGACTATTTGAAGAGAAAGTAGGAAATTAGAAGACATTGAGTAGGCATCTTCTAAACAATAGAAGTAGCATCCCTGTAATATTTTGCTACAGAGATGGACACCAGCCTCAATGAAGGTAATGGAGTTGAAGTTCCCAACTCTATCAAAGCCTGCAGGCACCATGATAGCCAATGCCATGTGCTGTGGTGGAACTGTACCTGATGCCTTTTCCACTACAATTATTCTCTTAGAAATTATAAGAACAGTAGCATCTGTTTTCAAGACAGAATACAACCAAAAGCTCCTATCAGGTAAAAGCACTAGCCTGGCTTTTGTATCATTAGGAAAAGGTAATTAATCTTGTTTCAGCCTCTAAAGAGATGCTGTCAAAGGAAAAAAAGAAATCTCTTCAATGTAAATATATCTCATTAGTTTCTCTGATTTGTATTACAAATTAGTGCTTCTGGCCTTTTCTTCAAACTTAAATATCACAAGGAAATCAGTGAGAAGGGAATCATGTGCTGATCAAGTTCTTAAAGAGCAGAAACATTCACTGAAGTGAAAGGGATTAGTAAAGGGTAGAAAAAAAGATCAGCCCCTCCTAGTTTGGGTGAGCAGATTTGGGATTAGTTATCAGGCAGCAATCCACATGCAATTAACAGTTCTGACGTGAGAGGACAAGAAACACAAGTAAATATAAAACGATCAATCCTAAGAGAAGTTCATCAGAGACACACATCCTTCAGGATATTAAGGTACTGAAAAGAAGTCCTATGGGGAGTGGGTGGACTCCTGCCTAAACTCCATTTGTATAACAAACTTTAAATCACAAAAATTAACTTGCTGGAAATCTGTTCCCAATTCTTCTTTCAGCTCCAAGGTTAAATTAAATGTAATCAACGGTGGTGACCTGCTAATTAATGCTTTTGATAACTGATACCTAGAATGTGTATATGTATATAAAATGAAGAAAACAAAATGACTAGGACAGGTAATTTAATTATGTCGGTATCATACATGTAGGTGTTACATATGTCGAATTTTAAAGGTAAATTATTATTTTTATTATTTGTGTGCAATGTCATTTTACATATGGATTCCATTTTGTAGGTATTTGGGAAAGGTTCATACCATTTATAAGTACTAAGAAAAACTTGCATAATCTCATTTTACTTTATCTTTTTCAGCTGGATTTTCATCTACATGCTTCAGTCTTCTCTACACAAAGGGCCAAGAACCAGATCTTTGTTTTGCACTCTTACTTCAAGCAGAATGAATGCTCCTAAACTCCTCTCTCTGGGCTATATCTTCTTCCTGCTGCCGCTTTTTCAGCAGGCCGACGCTCAATTCCCAAGAGACTGTGCCACTGTTGAGGCTTTGAGAAGTGGTATGTGTTGCCCAGACCTGTCTCCTGTGTCTGGGCCTGGGACAGACCGCTGTGGCTCATCATCAGGGAGGGGCAGATGCGAGGCAGTGACTGCAGACTCCCGGCCTCACAGCCCTCAGTACCCACATGATGGCAGAGATGATCGGGAGGTCTGGCCCTTGCGCTTCTTCAATCGGACATGTCACTGCAATGGCAACTTCTCAGGACACAACTGTGGGTCTTGCTATCCTGGCTGGAGAGGAGCTGCCTGTGACCAGAGGGTTCTCGTAGGTAAGTGGAGATGTGAATGAGTTCACAAGTCTTGCATGAGACTCAAGGCTCTGAATAAAATCTTAAATCATTTGAGCTGGAGGAATACCTGGAAATCAAAGCTCAACCCTCTCTTTTCACAATTGAGGAAACTGATGCTTAGAAAGGTTAAGAAACTTGTTTAATGTGAAAGGTTGGGGTTGAAGCCCAGAACTTCTGACCAATATTTTCTTCTGAAACATTTGTTGAGAAACCACTATATCCTAGGAAGTGTGTTAGGTATTTATGACTAGTCTTTTCAGTAACTCCTTCAGGCAAACATGTTAATTGTCATAGATGAGGTTCAGAAAGTTCAAATCCACACAGCTGATATTTAGTAAGCCTGGAATTCACACTGAGATCTGTCTAGCCCTTATATTTTAGTTCTGCCACTACCTCTGCTGACCCTTAAAGAAATTTCCCAACATGATGACCAAATTCAGGCATTTGAGATGAAGAGTTTAGCCTGCAGACTAAATAGCATTAAATAACAAAGCATTCAACAGTAACAGCCTACAATATTCTATTGTGTTCTATGGTGCCAGATAGTAGACTAAGGGTTTAACAGAACATGTATTGAGTCTTTACTATGAGCCAGGCCTTGGGCTAATTGCTTTTTATGTGTATGGTCTTTAAACTTTACAATTCTATAAAGCAGGAATTATTTTTATCTACACTTTAATGATAAAAAAAACTGAGACTTTGAAAAATGTGCCCAAAGTCATAGAATAATTCTGTAGTCTTAACTACCATGTTATACCACCTAATTTTATAAGAATTATAATGTTAAAAAGATAGAAAGTTAGAAAATTCCAGTAAAAATGCCAATAGTGGGCAGAAATAAACATGATAAGGTCACAAAATTGTAAAATCCACAGGTAAGATTAAAGAAAGGCAATAGAAATTACACAGTAAATTGCAGAGAGGAAAAGGAAAGAAGGGAAGAAAGAGAGAGAAAGCAGGCCTGAAGAAAGGGTTTTCATTAAGGATTTTTTAAAGTGTAAAATAGTTTAAAACACATTTGAACAGATAGATAAATGGGTCATGGTGTATTACAAGACAATTATGCTCTTTCTCTACCCATCCCCACAAGACAGATGTTCTCATGCTTGAATTTTGTTTTCCTAAAGTCAGGAGAAATATTCTGGACTTAAGTAAAGAAGAAAAGAACCACTTCGTCCGGGCCCTGGATATGGCAAAGCGCACAACTCACCCTTTATTTGTCATTGCCACCAGGAGATCAGAAGAAATATTGGGGCCAGATGGCAACACGCCACAATTTGAGAACATTTCCATTTATAACTACTTTGTTTGGACACACTATTACTCAGTGAAAAAGACTTTCCTTGGGGCAGGGCAGGAAAGCTTTGGTCAAGTGGATTTCTCTCATGAGGGACCGGCTTTTCTCACATGGCACAGGTACCACCTCCTGCGTCTGGAGAGAGACATGCAGGTATGTAAGAAGCATTTCAGTTTTTAGACTCTTTTCAGACAAGATGGCTTGTTTGTAAGTCATTTTAATTCACTAGTTTTCAGAATCATCAGAACATTTGATGAAAAAGCAATTTCATGTTACTAACCTGTCTTTGGCATTTCATTTTCTCCTTGTTTTGATTACTTACTAATTAATTTTTATCTTGGTGAAGTGAAAATAAAGTATTATCAATAATGAGCAAAATGAGACATTTGCAGGTATGAATTAAAAGTTTAAAAATGTTTTGCAGCTTCATTGAAAACAAGACTTTCATAAAGCTTGAAACAGAAGAAGCTCATTTGCAAGTCTTCCTTCTCTACTAAATATAAGCTGATTCCTGCTCCTAATGATGTGGGTTAGAGACTTCCCCATATTTCAATCCCAAATGTATATCTTATTATTCCAGTGATTCTTTCCTACATGGTATAGGGTTTAAATCATGAAAAATAATTCCTTTCCATTTAGATTCTCATATTTTCATTGAACTACATTTTTCCACATTCCCTACCCTTTGAGGCTCACAAAGGAAACCTATTAAAAATATCACATTACTATATAAGAGGACATATATGTAAATCTGCTTGACTATAGTAATCGCTTAACTATGTATATTCATATCAAAGCACTATGTTGAACACCTAAAATATATAAAAGTTGACAAAACATTTAAAAAATACAAAAAAATTACATGATTCAGGCAATATTTTTAGTGAAAAGATATTGGCTAATTTATCTTTTCTAGTGAAAAGAGGAGTGAACCTCAACTCAAGCAGCTATTTCATGTTTATTTTTTAAGCAGATAAGCTCAAAACATATTAGTGTCCAGTTACATAGATTCTTTATACTTGTTTCTTTTACCAACTGCTCTGTTTGAGAAAAATATTGTAATTTTAAAATAATATTTTAAGTTGTTAGATCTCAGCTAAGAAATCCACAAAGTAAACCTGTTTTCTATGTGAAACAACATCAATGAATCTTGCCCTTCAAGTTAAAATATAAGAACTAAGCTAAAAATATCTGAATCCAAGAAAAGTGTTTAGATTCATTTATTAATTTGCAGAATGCTTGTGCCAGCATTATTCTAAGAAAAAAAAAATAAATGGTTAGAAGAGAGAGAATTAATGCACGAAAATACAGGATGAAATATTCATTTGAAAGTACACTATCCATTTGCAGTTCGAGAGTGATTAAATGAATTCATCTGATACTCTGAACATCATATTTTATAGCTCTGATTACAAATGAGACACTTAGTAGATTATGAGTAGATAAATCTGTCATTTGTAATTGACTGCAGATCTTCAAGCCTTGGAGTCATTTTCTCATGGGCACACCAAAATGAAAGGGCAGGTGGAAAGTATCTAAAACCTTCAATTTTGTCTCTGTAAACTTCAACCTCTATGACTTACATTTTAAAAACCCAACAGCACAAGGGATCCAACAAATTACAATTTAAATGTAATTCATGTTTGAAATGCCACATGAATATGCTCTGGCTCCCAAATGTCAGTTGCTGAACCACAAACCCATTCTTAATGATCCCTTGGAAGCTGTCACTAACTTTTGTGAACCACAATGATGGCTTCTAAAGGAGGCCTACAAACCCCTGGAGACCAATAACTAGGGATAACTTGGAAAGCTTTTGGCTCTCTAAAACACCCAAAGTTAAGAGAATGCTTCCCAGAAAGGGAAGTGAAAAAGCAGAATGTATTGAGTGCTTGAGAGATAAGATGAAACAACTGCAATCCCTACACTTAAATTCCATACCATAAATAGAACTTCTCAAGGGCCAAAAGAAATGAGAAATAACAAGGAGTTATACGTTTTAAAGAACTGAATAAAATAAGCATGTGATCTTGAGGCCAGCATATTTAAAAATGTGAGATCAGCTCTGAATGGAAACTAGGTCTCTGGTCTAAAAGCCAATGGGCAGAAAGATTTACTCTGCTTCTGTTTAGCATTTCTATCAGTGTAAGATTTAGGCAGAAGCCTGAGTTGTAAAAGTTTAGATTCTAAGGCAGTGTTTCATAAATAAAACACCTTCCATGCCCAGTGTGAAAGAGACCATTGGCCTTTGACCAAACCAAAATCTAAATGCCCAGTCATTCAAATGAAATTTTAAAACAGAAGCAAAACAAAAATTAGCACTCCACATAACATATTTTAAGTCTGGATCTGGCACCAGACTAAGAGTTAATGATGCTTGAATTAAAGATAGAGAAATTGAAGAAGGTGAAAATGCCAATAAGCCAATGTTGTTATTGACAATTTTTGTTATAACCAATAGAAATGTAATTACCTGGCTAAAAAAGAAAAAGAAGACCTTTTCTCCCTCCAAATCGTTTTCAAAAATTTCTGCACAATGAATTGAGTTTCATTCCCTTTAATGCCTAGATGACTCCTTTTAATAAATTACTAGCTTTGTTAAATAAGGTTTGAACTCCTCTGGGCCCCTCAGACACCATTGATACACTAACCAGTACCTTATTGTCTGAAGACAGCTAATAGAAATAGACTGTCAGTGAGTAGACCAAGCAGAAACAAAGAACTATAAACAGAAGCAGAGAATATTAACAGAGTTTCTGTGATCTAGGAAATGTTGCAAGAGCCTTCTTTCTCCCTTCCTTACTGGAATTTCGCGACGGGGAAAAATGTCTGTGATATCTGCACGGATGACCTGATGGGATCCAGAAGCAACTTTGATTCCACTCTAATAAGCCCAAACTCTGTCTTTTCTGAATGGCGAGTGGTCTGTGATTCTTTGGAAGATTATGATACCCTGGGAACACTTTGTAACAGTAAGTTGCAAATGATTGCTCAGAGTCAGAATTTCTTTTTAGATAAAGAGATTAAATATGCTGCCTGGAAGGCCCTTCATTCTACTAGTGAATTCAGACTAAAATCTACTTTTATTATAGAGAAACAGTGTACCAGGCATTCATTAAAGGCCTAAAATATTCAAGACGCTCCATAAGGGGCTCCTGGGGAAACAGAAAGTGCCTACTCATTCTTACACTGACCAAGTTGCTCACTGTAATTGGGTCAATATCTTGCTAACTTTCTTATTTTGGAAATGTCTAGTTGTATAAACTAATCCTCTTAGTTTTCTTAGCACTGCTTAGTAGTCATGTGCCTCATGTTGGAATTTCACAGAAAATGTTACTGAAGAAAATGTGAAAAACAGGCAAAAAGTTGGAAATGCCATGGGAGAAAAAAAAGAAAAGAAACAAACCAAATGTATGTTTATTCACTTAGAAAGTCAGAAAGCAAAAGGTTATATGGGGGGTAGTTTTCAGTAAAGGAGATTACTGCCAGCTAGCTGCTCTCCAGCTCTTCTGACGTAAATGCAATAAGAGAACACTTAACCAGTTGTCCAAGCATTCTTTCTCCAGTGATCTGAATGCCACCTCTGTCACAGGTCAATTTCCTGCCACATGTAGATCTCTTCCTGAGCTTCCTATTCTCTTCCTTGGATCATATTAGTATCTGTGCCTGTGCTAGTAACACCAGGTTCAATTATTAGACACTCCCTACCTCACCTTATTTTTCTTCTTCAGGCATGTCTGGTTCTTTTGACTGTTCTTCCATATAAAAATAAGAGTTATGTAAATTTGTTTTATTATTATAGTTACAACATATTTATTCTATGTATATTATTTTATGTACTTGAGTAAGAAATATTCTAAATAAATTAGGAAGAATTAGATATATACTTTCACAATTAGAAGATTATTTAGCAGTGTATAGGAATAAGAGAAGTGATAATAAATGAAAATTTCCTCTGTAGAAGTTCAAAACGTAGAATAAATTTGTATTTGTTTGGTATGCTGAATGCATGGTCCCACCTTGTGGCAGAGAAATGAAACTGAGGATCAGGATGCCCGCAGATACAAAAGCATTTATCTCTTTCTAACCAGGTCATTGTATTTTGGCCTGAGCGTTTTCTAGTCATTTTCCAATCATCCTGATGGTTGGACACCAAATTAAAGCACAGTTTAAATAAGTAAATGCAATTATAGCACAGGAGGTGAGAAGAGGAAGGAATTTTTTTATCATAATTTTTCTTGTCAGTTAATATAACAAGTCTCCTAAGTCAGACACAGAGTCTCATGACAAATTGAAGAATATTTAGGTTAGAGAAATTTTAAGATTACTCCTTGTTTCACTGCAAAAGATAAATAGCAGGCATTTTATTTGTAAGGCAAAGGAAAGGGAAAAAATGTCATTTTATTGAACACATATTATGTATCTGATATGGTATGAAATGCTTTGCTTTAGTATCCTATTTACTCCTCATAACAATTCTCTCTTCTATTACCTTTCTTCTTTAATGATATTGTCCATTTCAGTTGTTTTATTGATCATCTTTTACTGGAGACTCACACATTTCCAACTTTAGATAAAACCTTCCTTAAATATTTCATACCTATTTCTTTACATGCTTGTTAGGTAGTATTTCTCCAATATTCAAAATAAATGCACCAAACTTGGTAGATTGAAAAAGTTACTATTGCATCCAACATTTTTCCAGTCACCAAAATACCATCTTTGAATCAACACAGAAGAACACTGTTATTTATTCACAATACTTCTCAGATGTATTTTCTTCTTCAGACGTGCAACTTTCCATTTATTTTTTTATGGAAATTCCACAGGATTTTGGTCTATAGGATGTTAGATGCAATAGCAGCAGTTGTCCATATGCAAACAAATCTAAGAAACACTGGAGTAAAAAATGAACTGATTTAACTTGTTTCTTTACTATCAGCATTTTCTACTATGGAACTCTTTGAGGGCAAATTAGAATGAGATGCTTTGAAATTCAAGTATTCAATATTTGCTTCTTGGGATTTATTGATAGCTTCCTGAGCAGTAATCCCCAAAATATCAGCTTGAATTGATAGTTTATCTAGGGATGGTGAAAGATTTCGGTGAAAATGTACACTAAATAAATACAGTTTCCAATCAATCCCAGCTGAGGTTTTAGTTACATATTACATAAACTTCATCATGCTAATTTATCAGGTTCTGATTATTACATTAATTGTAAAGCATAGAACATGGGAAGGTTTCTGAATAAAGAAAAAGGAATGTGAGTTGAAGTTGTAATATTATCTCTCCCCAAATTAGTGGATTATTTTGCTTGTCCCTTACGGCACATATATTTCTTCCTGGAGACCACTAGGACAGAATGATGCAAAGTTATCCCAACCAATCACCTCTCCTCCCACCCATCTAAGGTTTTGACCTCTCTCCACTTCCTAAGGAATTAAATGTAACTTTTAAATCTTGGTATTTGATTTTTTTTTTCACAATATAGCTTTGGTCTAGCTTCCCTTCTTTCCCACAGTACGCTACTCTCCTGGCAGAGACTCCAGGAAAGCTATTTCCATAATAGGCCCTTTTTGACAACTAACATGATCTTTTCCATATACTGGCATGCCCCAAACAACTCTTCAGCACCCATTAAATGCCAGGTACTGTGCCAAGTCTGTGGGATACACACACTTTTTTGTTATAGATAGGGGGCTTTGTTGTAGACAGAAGAAAGTGTATCATCTCTTGCCATTTCCTCTGCCTAAAATGTTTTTCTTTTAAAATTTCTTTAATTTCACCTATGGAAAGTTTTCTTAATCCTATGGGGCTCTTTGTAAATCTCTCTTCTTCATAAAGCCTTTCTGGAGATCTGACTGAATAGGATCTCTCTCTCTCTCTCTCTCTCTCTCTCTCTCTCTCTCCCCCTCTCTCTCTCTCTTTTCCCCCTCCCCACTCCCTCCCCATCTCTTTCTTCTTTAAGGCTGCTATCATATTATCTATCCCTAGTATCACAGTTATTTGTCTGTTTGTTACTACCCTTCACAAAGTTTCATTATTTCTCACATGAATTGCTGAAAAAGTTGAAAAATGTGTATTGGTTGAAATATGTATCCCTTTCCAAAGAAATTTAACCTTATTTCTCTAAAGGTTTAAATAGGCAGCATTTGTGTACAAAATATCACATATATGTGAAATATAGATTTCAGTGTAGAACTTAGGCTTAAGAGATTATTTTGGCAAAATTTTCCATGGACTTTTTATTTTAATACATTCTTATGAAAGAAGCATATATTGATTTAACAAATATCAAGATCTGTATCTGTTCATGATTCTTTTTATTCCTTCATATACTTTCATGTGTCACATATCTACTCGATTCAAAGAAGTAGGACATGGTAACTTAGATTTCCTCACTTTAATACTACCAAGTATGCATTTTTAAATTTTCTTTTCTACAAGGAGAACCTATATTTCATATTCGTGCTATGTATAAAGTTTTAAAGAGCAATGATAAGACCTCCAAACATTGTGTAAACGTTTGCATATCCTGTTTTTTTTTTTTTTTTGCAGGCACTGAGAGTGGGCCAATTAGGAGAAATCCAGCTGGAAATGTGGCCAGACCAATGGTGCAACGTCTTCCTGAACCACAGGATGTCGCTCAGTGCTTGGAAGTCGGTTTATTTGACACACCTCCTTTTTATTCCAACTCTACGAACAGTTTCCGAAACACAGTAGAAGGCAAGTAAATTAAATCAGTACTTTGAAAAGATCTAGTTATCAAAGTATACTGAGTTATTCAAAAGCAAGTTCCTTTGAGAAGGCTTTGAATAGTATATTAATCCTGTGAATTTATGTGAATGAGATTGCCTATTATGATACACCTGCTCAAAAAGGAACATTCTTAAAGAGAAGAGTCCAACCATGAAGCTCTTTTCATTATAGGAAAAGCCCTTGGAAATCATGCTCCAATTTCTTAAAAACCCCAAAACTATTCAAATTCAAATTTCTAGAAGCTAGCTGGCCAATATGTGTAACTATACCAAGTTCTAGCATTGGCAAACAATATTCAAGACTTTGAGAGCGTATTAAATTAATTTGTTATTTTTTAATGATAGCAATACTAAAGTAATTCCAAACAATTAGTTTACACTGAATAAAGACTTGTTTAGGCACATGTTTTATTTGGGTCAGTATCAACCTGTAACTTTTTTCAAAAGGCTATAAAAATTCAAATTATCATCTACTGATGCTTAACTTTGTTTTCCTTCTTTTGCACAAAGTATTTTAAAGCTGAGGAAAGTGAGGTATGAAGAGGTAAAATTACTGTCCCAAGATATTCAGCTGGTTAGTAACAGAGCACTAACCAGCACTAACCAGAGCACAAATTCAAATTTCCAAAATCCAGTGTCTTTATATAACAAATTTTGATAACTCCAAATGATGCCATATGTGTGTGTGTGTGTGTGTGTGTGTGTGTGTGTGTGTGTATATATATATATATTTAAAGTCTTCAAAAGAATATACTTTCATCTTATTATAAACTTGTAATTGTTAAATTTTACTTTCGGTATAGCACTGTCCATGTCAAATGCATCCCATCTCCCCATGAAAATGCAAATAGACCTCTCTATCCTCTGATCAAAGATATTTGATATATAAATCTAATAATTATTTTTAATTATCTCACCTTTTAGTCTCAAAATTGTATGCCATTTTAATCTTTTTTGCTTATTTTTATAACTAGATGATCCCACTGATTTGAATATGATTGGATTTAAATAATCAGTATATGTTGGGTAATCTATAAACTAAGGCTATCAGTACTGATTTCTAAAAAAATGTGCAGATATACGTTCTTAATGCCCAATCAGAAGACAATTATACTTATTTCCTGACAAAAATGTATTAAAAGACAAGTGTCAAGCCATGTGCCATATACATCACAGGCAATCTTTAAATGTTTTCGAGTCAAACAATAAAGGAATTGATGCTTGAAAAAATACATAGGTGAATAAATAGGTGACTGCAACTACACAATCTTATATGAAGAGAGAACTGGTTAACAAATTTTAAAGTCTTATTGAATTTTAGAATACACAACCTTTCTATGATCTCAAACCTGTGGTCTTTCAAGCCAATTAGACGTCTTACATCACAGACCCTCCATTTTTTATTTATGACCTGTCCTATACCTATCCTTTTTTTCTCCCTTTTATATAAAATGCATATATACTATATGCATGTGTGTGTATATATATGTGTATATATATGCATTGTATATATATGTGTATACAATGCATATATATATGGAATTGAGATATTTATCAAAAGCTCTATAAATGTTTTTACAGTAGGTTTTCCCAGTGCTTAAAACTAGCACAGAATGGTAAGAAAGCCCTGAGAAATTGTAGCTTCCTCACAAAAAATAAATTAGTTTTCCAAAAATAAACATGCTGACAGTCATTCAAAACTAAGGTAGGAGGTGGAAATAATATCTGGCAACTTAAGTTCCAAGACAATCAGAGCATTCTTCTTCCAATTATGTCAACAGTTTTTAGTAGAAACTGAAGATTTTCACTATCTTTATTCCCATGTAGGACAATGTCTGCCTTGACAAGTAGAGTGTCTATATATTTTGACTGATATCTTTGCAGGTCATTATTTTTAACCTAGAGGTTACATTTAGGATGTCATGCCACTAGCATAAAACCAACTTAGCTCTGGATATAGCAAACAAATGTCATCAACCAGAGGTACAGAGAAATAGTGCTGTTACATTAAGACAAAAAAATGGCCTGACACAAGCTTTGAAAAAAAAAATCTTTGTTAATAGAATCATTGCTGTTAACTAGAAAAGTAAAGTACTTGCAATATTGTTTTACTATTCTCCTCCTTACTTGTGTATCTAGGTTACAGTGATCCTACAGGAAAGTATGACCCTGCTGTTCGAAGCCTTCACAATTTGGCTCATCTATTCCTAAATGGAACAGGGGGACAAACCCATTTGTCTCCAAATGATCCTATTTTTGTCCTCCTGCACACTTTCACGGATGCAGTCTTTGATGAATGGCTGAGGAGATACAATGCTGGTAAGACATTTTCATATGCCTTTTGCATGCTCAGCCAAGTGAATTGTTTAGATGGCATAGTTATCAGTTTAAGCTAAGCACTCAGCACATAAAAGCACATTCAAAATAAGGATAAAATAGCTGTAATATCAAGCCACTTCCAGACATTCAATTCCACCTTGAAAATGCAGGCAAGTAGTCTCTCCAAATAGTTTTTATAGGATGATATTTTTAACCATTTGCTAGGACTAACCAAATCATATCTTCCAATTTTTGCTTTGAAAAATTGGCTACTATTTTTTAAAAAATTTTCCTATCCATATCTTCCAACATAAATTCTTATTACTTTTAAGTAGAATTGAGGAAAACCTCACAGAGCTCTTTAATATCCACAAAGACTTAAAGTTGAATATCTATAATCCATAGTTCTTATTTTTATTACCTAATGGCCTCTCACAAATAGAAATTTTGTTCCACTTGAAAAGTTAATGTTGGTTTTTATATCACACTATAGGAAATCGCTTTGAAGTTCATTTCAATGCAGTTTTTAAAATAAGATTTAAAAGGCCTCTTTCTCTGCCTTCCTATGCAGCTGAGAGGTTAGCATTTCTTTTCAAACAATGAAAGTGCTTCCACTGGTTAAAACATCACACATTTTTGTATGTTGAAAGTATTCTAAATTTTGGCTTCTGTGTCTTTAGTTCATCATGCACATAAACATGATATTATAGTTTAACTACCTATTGATTTATCTATCCATTAGACAGGTTCTTATTTCTGTGTGTATGTGTGCAGTAAGGTCCTCTAATCTAACCTAATTAGGACCATTAATTGATGAAGTTGTTTAAAAGAGTTTGTTCCATCAAAAATTATTTAAGAAACAACTTACACATAAGCCCATACTTCCAGCACTTTGAGAGGCCAAGGCAGGCTGATCACTTGAGCCCAGGTGTTTGAGACTACCCTGGTCAACATAGTGAAACCCAGTCTCTACTAAAAACACAAAAATTAACCAGGCATGGTGGTGGGTGCCAGTAATCCCAGCCACTAGGGAGGCTGAGGCATGAGAATGGCTTGACCCTAGGAGGTAAAGGTTGCAGTTAGCCAAGATCACACCACTGCATTCCAGCCTGGCTGACAGAGAGAGATTTCATCACAAAAAAAACAAAATAAATAAATAAATAACTTACACATAACTAATCATTTAGTTGTCAATCAGTTATGAATTCTGTTATTAGAATTCCATCTCATTTTTTCATGTGTATTTATACACATAATGGCAATTATAATTAATTATTTATAATTTATAGTGTCAGCTTTTTAAAAAGTGAAACCATAAATGAATGACTTCTGTAATACAATATGAGGGCAAATATTTTAGCCATTCACCTTTAACAAATCTTTCCAAAGTGTTCAATTTACCTATTATAAAAACAACATTCTTCCGTTTGTTTTACAGTCATGATGATCACTTTATGTTTGTTTAACTAGATTGCTTTTATTACAATAAGGAGTAAACTTGAATTAATAGGTTTAGGAATTAACAAAACCAACTTGTATTAAACATACACCTCTGGGAACCACATGGTAATATTCAAGTGACGTTTTCTTCCACCTGTGAAAGAAAGGAAAGATATTCCTTTGCCTTGTGTATCTTGATTGAAAATACAATTATTTTACATTTGTAGCAATTTGTTAAAGGTTCTTTGGATTTTAACCTAAATGTCATTGATGAACCAGAAAAATACCTTTTTAACATTTTTTTCTGACATTTTCTTAGTTTGCAACATATGTAGCATAAGGTTTTCCAGTAACTTAAATTGTAGTGGGAAGAGAAGTACCATAAATGAAAAATAGGAAACTACCCTTCAGCACATTTCTGATAAAATGTGACCATAAAATTACAGGACAGGTCAATGTAAACACCTGCAAATTATATGAGAGCTAAACAAACAAGTAGCCTCCTTTTTAAATATTCCTGCAAATACCTTTTAGAAAGCAATGTTAAAGACTGTCTTTAAAGCAAAAGTCTTGTTTAAAATAAGTCTAAGAGTGGAGGGATGGAATTATTTTTCAAATGACTGAAAGGTTTTTACAAATATAGAAGGAACAAAGCTGGAGGCATCACGCTAATGGATTTCAAACTATACTACAAGGCTACAGTAATCAAAACATCATGGTACTGGTACCAAAACAGAGATATAGACCCAATGCAACAGAACAGAGGCCTTGGAGGCAACTCCACACATCTACAACATCTGATCTTTGACAAACCTGAAAAAAACAAGCAATGGGGAAAGGATTCCCTGTTTAATAAATTATGTTGGGAAAACTGGCTAGCAGCGGGCAGAAAGCAGAAACTGGAACCCTTCCTGACACCTTACACTAAAATTAACTCCAGTTGGATTAAAGACTTTAACGTAAGACCTAACACCATAAAGACCCTAGAAGAAAACCTAGGCAAAACCATTCAGGACATAGGCACAGGCAAGGACTTCATAACCAAAACACCAAAAGCATTGGCAACAAAAGCCAAAATAGGTAAATGGGACCTAATTCAACTCCAGAGCTTCTATACAGCAAAAGAAACAATCATTAGAGTGAACCAGCAACCAATAGAATGGGAAAAAATTTTTGCAATCTACCCATCTGACAAAGGGCTAATATCCATGTTATACAAATAACTAAAGCAGATTTACAAGAAAAAAAAAAAAAAACCCATCCAAAAGTGGGAGGATATGAACAGACACTTTTCAAAAGAAGACATATATGAGGCCAAGAAACATATGAAAAAATGCTCATCATCACTGATTATTAGAGAAATGCCAATCAAAACCACATTGAGATACCACCTCAAGCCAGTTAGAATGGCAATCATTAAAAAATCTGGGGACAACAGAGGCTGGAGAGGACGTGGAGAAATAGGGACACTTTCACGCTGTTGGTGGGAGTGTAAATTAGTTCAACCATCGTGGAAGACAGTGTGGTGCTTCCTCAAGGACCTAGAAATAGAAATTCCATTTGACCCAGCAATCCCAGTACTGGGTATATATCCAAAGGACTATAAATTTTTCTATTATAAAGACACATGCATACGTATGTTCACTGAGGCACTGTTTACAAAAGCAAAGACCTGGAACCAACCCAAATGCCCATCAACGATAGACTGGACAAAGCAAATGTGGCACATATACACCATGGAATACTATGCAGCCATAAAAAATGATGAGTTCCTGTCTTTGTAGGGACATAAATGAATCTGGAAACCATCATTCTCAGCAAACTGACACCAAAACAGAAAATCAAACCCGCATGTTCTCACTCATAGGTGGGTGTTGAACAATGAGAACACATGGACACAGGGAGGGGGGCATCACACATTGAAGTCTGTGTTGGGGAATTAGGGGAGGGACAGTGGTGGGTGAGGAGTTGTGGAGGGATAACATGGGGAGAATGCCAGATATAGGTGATGGGAAGGAAGGCAGCAAACCACACTGCCATGTATGTACCTATGCAACAATCCTGCACGTTCTTCACATGTACTCCAAAACCTAAAACACAATTAAAAAAAAAAAAAATATATATATATATATATATATATATATATATATAAAAGAAAATGAAGAAGATAAATAAATAAAAAAACACTGGAAGAAGCAAAAAAAATACTAAACAGAAATAGTAATAAACAAGCACAACCTCTAACCAATATATCAAATCTCAAATTTTAAATTACAGATGATGCCACAGCAAATCACAGGTTTATCTTTTCTTTGGCTTTGAAAAATACATTTAATGAATTTTATTGAAATTATTTTACATAATTTAAAAAAGCTATTCACCATCATGATACTAAAACTCCCCTGCTTTTAAGCTCTCTTTTTCTATTGAGTAGTATATTGGTACTTTATTCAAAACATTTTCTGTTTTACTGATTTCCTATCCTGCTGTAGTGAAACCTCATCTTTATTCAGCATAAAATAAGAATAAAATACGTTCACATTCTCTTTGAATATTGGATCCCTTTACACCTCAATAATAACATAAATATTAATTTTATGTTTATTAACAAGTTGTCTTTGGAATAATTTAGATATATCTACATTTCCATTGGAAAATGCCCCTATTGGACATAATAGACAATATAACATGGTGCCATTCTGGCCTCCCGTCACCAACACAGAAATGTTTGTTACTGCTCCAGACAACCTGGGATATGCTTATGAAGTTCAATGGCCAAGTGAGTACTGAAATTGCATTTTCAATGTGATGATTTCCAAAAGCAAATGTGTTATCTTTAAAGAGAGTAATCACGGTGTTCTGAAGCTATGTTTGGCATGAAGCTTTTATTTGTATTTTTATTTGAGGATAAGGGAGGGAATTTGATATCTGTTGAGAGCCCACACTAAGATGATATTGAGCTTATTGTACAGCAGCCTATCTTATTTAATCCTCACAATGCTTTGGGGTGAGTATGAAAATCTTCATTATACAAATAAGGAAGCTAAGGCTGAAAGAGGCTAACTGTTAGAGCTCCACATTTCTAATGAAGGAAGAGAATGAGTTTGAGCTTAGGCCCATGGAATAGGCCCCAATTTTTCTACTATACTATATTGCCTACATGTATCTATCCTAAAGGAAAAGGGAGTGAGATACTCTGAGGTGTTTTTTCTGAGATTCTGAAATTCAAAATTTCTTGTTTAAGTCTCTTTCCTGACAGAGGCAGTAGGGCATAGTGGAAGAGTACAAGGCTTATATTCTAAAATACCTGGGCTCCAAAACCAACTTTATTGCTTACTAACCAAGTGACCATGGGCAAATGACTCAAACTCTGAATCATCATTCTCTTACTTTCACAAAATGAAATGGAAATAACAATGACTATCCCAATAGGGTCCACTCATTAAAAGAAATCAGGAAGTGGCTTCAAGGCCATGTGGCCAATATAAATTAAATATGAGGATTTCTGTTAAAATGTAGACATTTATACCTAAATTCCAGGTGTCCTATTTTTGGTGATAACTATTTTAATATTTATCTTTTTTATCTTTATTTCAAAATAGGTCGGGAGTTTAGTGTACCTGAGGTAATTGCCATAGCAGTAGTCGCCGCTTTGTTACTGGTTGCACTCATTTTTGCGACTGCTTCTTGTCTGCTACGTGCCAGACGCAGTATGGATGAAGCTAACCAGCCTCTCCTCACTGATCAGTATCAACGCTATGCTGAAGAATATGAAAAAATCCGGAATCCTAATCAGTCTATTGTCTAACAAGTGCCCTACTCTATTATGCATTAATATCACAAAACCACCTGGTTGAATATAATAGATGGAGTTATTAACTGTATTTTCTTTAACTGATACTTTCTAATACAAGCATATGTTACAAATAAAGATCCAGGCATACTTTTCAAAACTGAGAAGACTCATTCAGAATTTTTTCAATGGGTTCTAATTTTCAGCTCTATTTTAAATAATGGGTGGCACTAACTACATAATATTTAAGGGGATAGTGTGCATGCTTTAAAGGTTGAGTATGTGATGATATAAGTAAGCTGCTATGCTTCGTTCACATGTATAAGGAAAATAATGTTTATAGCAAATGTCCACTTAAAATACATGAATGGGCATTTCTAAAATGTTAACATATAAACACATTTCCATTCATGGATATTGGTCAACAGATTTTTAAAAACCACATTTATTAATTAAAACAAATTATATGTAGTTATAAATAAATGAAATCCTGGTTAATCTTTTCAAATTAATCTTCAGTTTGAAGACCAATCAAATATATTATTTAGTCAACATATGCTATTTAATCTCAGGTTCAAAGCTACAACAAAATCACCATCTTTGTCAAACCTCAGAGACAGAAAACCTTCACTTTCTTAAGCAACAGTGGATATTGCCTGTATTTGCCACTGTGTTTCCCAGCCTCTCAATCACTGAAAAAGGAAATACCTATCCATACAGTTTACCTCCTAATTTCTCTTCTAATATCATAGAGGTCTGCAAAGAAGGCATATGGAGAACACGCTTTATGTGCTCTACACATAGTATTCTAATCACTGTGCTTAATTTAAATAGCATTCTCTTATTATTTATCAGCTTTTTATGTATCTTCCAAGTAAAATATTAACATATTATTTCATTGGTCTTTTTTTTAAATCTAGTTCTATATGAATGCTATTTTTCCCTTCTCTTCTAACATGAAATATATTTTCTCTTTTTAATCTTGTGCTATGAAACAATATTCCAAAGAACTGTGTAAGGTGGTCATATGTGAACAAACATTTTAATTAAAACTGGTAAAAATAAATAATAACAATAGTAATCATACTCTATATAAAATGGCTAAACTGAGATTCTAAATTCAACAAACAAAAACAAGTTTAAGTTATGTATCCCTGGTGTTACTGTGTTTTCCTATATTCAGCAATCTTAAGGCTACATATACACAAGAGAAATAAAACATATCAAAGAGCATGCATATAACAATAGGATGTTTTACACTAGCATTACTCAATTTATTCTCTTGGAATACACTGTGATTTGTTAAAATATAATATAAGCACAGCTTTTCAAAGAAATTATTGCGTAATGTAAGATGCCTTTTTATATAGAATATCAATGAAACGAAATACTCCACTTTATATTTTTTTTTAGGTTTACTAATTGCTCATTTCAGAAACATTTCTTAGACACATACAAGGCAACATCAAAGAGTTCAAGCCACTATAGCTTTGGAGAGAAGCAAATAAGAATTGTAAAACTGCGAAGGTCATGTTTAACTTCTGCTTCAAGGAATGCCAGTGAATTCACCAAAGATAAAAGTGGAAAAGGGCATTTTATTCAAAAGTAATAGTATGGACAAGGGCACAGAAGTTTAAAAGACCACGGAACTTTTGAAAATCTAAAATAGGTCAGTGTGGTTAAAGGGCAGTTTTTAAGGAGGGGAGTAAAAAGATAAATTGGAAATAAAACCAGAATGTCCTATATGCAATTCTTAATAATTGGAATTCACTCCATGGGAAATAGAAAACAGAGAGGGTCATAATCAAGCTGTATATTTATAAATATATTAGTGATGGTGCTGATCACAAATAATGCTGATGAGAAATAATTTGGAATGGTTAAAGACTAAGAAACTAGTTAATATGGAATACTTTAAGGGAGAGAGGAGGAAGTCTTGTTTCAAAACATTAATTCTAAATAATCACAAGATAAAGTTGCACACTTATCTATAAATAGAATAAATACAGCTTATATTCTAAATGTATAATTTTAAAATTATAAGTATAATATAAATACAGCTTTGAGTAAATCATTAGAAAAAAGTTGGTTAACAATGGAAAACTGTGAGAGAGACGATTAAAACAAGAGCATAACACAAAACTATTAATGAAATGGCAGTTAGTAAGTCCTCACCTATCAATAATTATTTCAATGTAAATGGCTCAATATAAAATTAAAATGCTTAAAGTAGCTGAATGTATCCAAAACATGATCCAGTGACTTGCTGTCTATAAGAGATTCACTTAAGATTTAAAGATAGATACAGGCTGGAAGTAAAGGGATGGAAAAAGATATTCTGAAAATGGCAACAGAAAGAAAGCAGGGGAGACTATCCTATCAGACGAAATACATAAAGTCAAAAACTGTCTCAAGATGAAGTTCATTATATAATAATAAAATAGTCAATTTAACAAGATATAACAATTATAGACATATATACATTCAATAGCAAAGCAAATAAATATGTGAAGGAAATATTGATAGATCTGAAAGGAGAAATTGATAGCAATACAATACTCACAGTAGAATCCAATATTCCACTTTCAATAATCGATAAAACATCCAGGTAGGAGATCAATAAGGAAAGAGAGTATTTGAACAACACTATAGACCAATTGGACTTTAGGGATATATACATTACATTCCACTCAACAGCAGCAGAATATTTTTATACGTCAGCAACATGTTCCTCTCAAACACACATGGAACATATTCCAGGATAAATTATGTGTTAGGCCTCAAAACAAGTCCACCCAAAATCAAAAAGATAAAAGTCAGTTCAAAGATCTTTTCAGATCAAAATTGAGTAAAATTAGGAATTAATAGCTGAAGAAAGTGGTAAGATTCACAATGATGAAAAACAATTCACTCTTAAATAACCATTGGGTCAATTGAGAAATCATAGAGGAATTTAATGATACCTCAAGGCAAGTGAAAACAAAATTGCAACTAACCAAAAGTTACGAGATTCAGCAAAAGTACTAAAGAGGAATTTTGTAACAATAAACACCTACATTGAAAACTACAGATCTCAAATGAACGGCTTAACTTTACACCTCAAAGAACTAGAAAAAGAACAACAAACTAAGCCCAACGTTAACAGAAAGAAATAAATAATTAACGTTAGAGCAGAGATAAGTACAGAATAGAAAAGCAAGAGAAAATCCAGAAAATTAAGGGTTTTTTTTCAATTTTTAATTGACAAACCCTTAGCTAAACTAAGAAGAAAAGAGAGAAGACTCAAAATCATAAATGGAAGAGGAAGCATCAAAATGGATTCCTAAGAAACAAAAGAATCAGAAGGAACTTTTATGAACAATTATACGCCAATAAATTGGATAACTTATAAGAAATGGATAATTTCTAGAAACATACAACAGATTAAGACTGAATTCAGAAGAAATAGGAAGCCTGAACAGATCAATAACAAACAAGAAAATTATTGCATAAACACCCATTTCTTGTTGCATAAGCAACCATTCATTGCATGTGAGTACTACAAATTGATCCAAACATTACAGGCTAAGTGGAGTCAATTAAAATACCTAACTGGACTGTCACAATAAAAAATAAAAAGCTATTACTTTTGTGACTCTCAGTTATACATCTTGTCTTCATGTCCAGAAGCAGATTTCAGACATAGCTCTCACTTAAAACTCCATATAATTTTAAAACATGAAAAAATAAGTTTAAGGCTATTAAAATAACTATTCCAAGATGCAGTTATAAGACATTTGTTCTGAGCTCAGTCTATTAATATCCAATAATGTCATGTATTTTTCCCTTTGCTATAGCCTGCTCAAAATTTTCACAACCAATCAATCAACGGAAGATCAAGTTGAGCAGAAAACTAGTATGGATTTGACAATATAGATTTAAAAAACATATATATAAAGCAAGAACAGTCTGATGATAGATTAATAGGGAAAAATGCAAAATATGGTAGTCAGAAAGTATGATGGCAAAATTAAAGGGTAGAAGGAGGCAGAACTTTTTGCAAAATAACAAAGGGATTTTAATTTCAAATTAAATATAAGCCAATAGTGCAATGCAACCCATAAAGGAAAAAGTTGAAATGCTACTGATAAAGGAGGAAAACGGTGAGGTATTGGGCTTCATTAATACATAAACAGAAATCTGTGGTGTTTGAGTCACACCTGGCTTATTTATACAACTTTCAGGTCACACATTAAGGGGAACATTGGTAAACTGATATTCTGCCTGGATGTCCATTATTAAAAGGGAAGTATTGAAGTCTATCGCTATTATCGTATTGCTGTCAATTTCTCCATTCAGATATGTCAATATTTGCTTTATATATTTAGATGCTCTAATATTGAATATGTATATATTTATAACTATTATATATTCTTACTGAATTTATCATTTTATCATTATATACCTAGAGATAATTTTCAACTTTAAGTCTGTTTTGCATGATATAAGTATAGCCACTTCTGCTTTCTTTTTGTTACCATTTTTTTGAATATCTTTTTCTACCTCTTCACTTTTAGCCTATGTGTATCTTTACATCTAAAGTGAGTTTCTTGTAGATAGCAAGTCACTGGATCTTGTTTGCTTCATAATTGTCTTGGCATGTTGTTTTATTAGTTTGTTTTCACAGTGCTATAAAGAAATACACAAGACTGGGTAATTTATAAGAGAAAGAGTTTTAATTGACACATAGTTCTGCATGGCTAGTGGGGGGTACTCAAGTAACTGACAATCATGGCAGAAGGTGAAGGAGAAGCAAGTACCTTCTTTACAAGGCAGCAGGAAAGATAAAGAACGAAGGGAGACAAGCCGCTTATAAAACCATCAGATACTCACTATCAAGAGAAAGGCGGCCGGGCGCGGTGGCTCACGCCTGTAATCCCAGCACTTTGGGAGGCCGAGGCGGGTGGATCACGAGGTCAACACATCGAGACCATCCTGGTCAACATGGTGAAACCCCGTCTCTACTAAAAATACAAAAAAATTAGCTGGGCATGGTGGCGCACACCTGTAATCGCAGCTACTCGGGAGGCTGAGGCAGGAGAATTGCCTGAACCCAGGAGGCGGAGGTTGCGGTGAGCCGAGATCGCGCAATTGCACAGCCTGGGCAACAAGACCGAAACTCCGTCTC